GGGGAATGAAAATAAAAATAAATAATTTGCAAAATGTAAGTAACATAATATGTACATTACCCTTTCGAGCTTGTGCAGTGTATTAAATTTCAAAACCGAATGATGTAAACAATAACAACCTGGTCTATGGCACGTTCTGTATGTCTCTTAATTAAATTTGATGTATTTGCATATTAAATTTACTTTAATTGCAAATAAAAAATAATCGTTAAATTAAAAAACAAAAATATCTGTTGACGTCATAATTTAGTTTTATTCTTAGAATTTTTTGGTGTAATCCTAGTAAAAGTTACTATAGAAGCAGCTTTTTAAAACCAACGTTTTTAAAAATATATTTTCATCATCAGGGAAATTAAACAGAACGAATTATTGTGCTATTACAGGGCGAACGCATGGAAACAAAATATAGCTGTAGACGACAGTCATGCGCAGTAAATAGAAGAGCGAAGCTAAGTTCGTTTCTATTATTCGAGGTGATCACTTAAATCTTAATACATTATAGTCGAAGTTGTGTATTTTGAGACATTGATAAACTTACATTTCTACAATAACTACTTGATATACCTACCGTAATTCTTGGTTTATAATTTATATACTTTATATTACAATTTATTTAATAATAATATAATCCTTTTTAAGTCATTCTTGCCTGTTAATCTTTTACCAGAATTGTCCACAGAACATTTAACTAATTATATCTAACACTTCAATTTCAATATGGTTAGTACATCCATAATAAATATGATATAAAAACATAAATAATTACTTAATAATAAATATCATCCTAAGGTAAAGCTTGTAATATTTATCTAAGAGTGTTTAACCATATCCTCAGTTAGATAGAGATACCTTTCACAGTACTCTTTGTAATGCTGATAAGTAGTTCTGGGTTCTGGTCTTATGAACCCGTCGTCTAATTTTTATAGTCGGGTCTTTATTTCAATTTATAGAAGAAAAAAAGGTAATTTTGGACAGAGGGCCGTCAAAGGCAATTTTTTTTGTCATTACAGTTGAATATCACGAACAAATTTCTTCTAATAAGAGTACAGTGAAGTATAAAAGATTCGAAATTTGACCATGTTTGATCAGCTATTAGATTTTTTAACTGCCTGCTAAAATAATGTCAAGGGGTAAATTATAGAAAAACAAAATTAATCGTCAGAAAGGCACAACTAAAATCCAAAAAAATTTAAAATTAAGTTTCGACATTTGACCCTCCCCTAAATTAATTATAATGGACCCAAAGAGTGTGAAAATTCTCAATTTTATAATTCGAATTTTTACACTCTTTGGGCTCATTATAATTATTTTAGTATATTATTTTAGTATAAGGTATACATTTTCTAACGGTAAGAATGGATTGTATACAATTTCAAACCAGCTTTGAATCAGCCCCCTGTATCGGAATGTTATTTTAAAGTTTTGTTTGCAAGAGGAAGAGGGAAGTTAATCAATTATCTTTCATTTTTTTTGTAAACCTTCGAAAAGTATTTATTTTAAAATTATTTAAAAGGAATTTAAAAAAAAACATTTACACGACATTGGGGTCTATTCTGTAACAAATCCTTTATATTTTAACGGTCGTTAAAATATTGGCGGCCTTTAAAAATATTTTCGTATTCGCTAATTTACTTCTGTTATTATTTAAACGGATTTCTTTAAAATAGTCCTCTAATGTATTTTAAAGGAATTCGTTTAAATAATGACGGAAGTAAAGAGGAATTGCCACCTCTCTCTTGGGTACTGCCTTATCGTTGCACAAAAGACAATTTTATATTAGAAAATCCTTAAAACATGTCTGCTTTCGCGAGAGGTCCGGTTTTATCTTAAGGTTGCCACAAAATTCTCAGACGGCTTCCTTCGTAGACACGGTAAATCGTATGCAACCATATTTGCATCTCACAAACGCATGTAATACAACCATATTGAAACTATTTTATAATTATCAAGATACAAAACTCATTCAATTAAAATCAATTCTTTATGAATGACGATCATTATTTTTAACAATTTTGTAACCGTTATGTAAGGTGTCGATATTTTGATTCTTTGTATTCTACTCAAGAATACCAGGACACCATTTAGTACAGATTTCACTTTCAGTTTTATTTCTACATATATGAAAGTTCTAATTTTTTTTGCAGTACTTACCGGTCGCTGAATTTAATTCGTTAATAAAATGTGTGCAGTAAACAATTTTTTGCGCGTTGCGACTATTTTAAATAAAAAATTAAGTACATTGTGAAACACCTTTTTTAGGATTAAAATTAATAAAAACCAATTTTAATTTTTTATATTTTTTGATAAGAAATTATTTATTTTAATTATATTTTTTCGTTATCATTTTATTATCGCTAAATAATAAATATTTCACAGAAACAACCTTTAACCGATTTAATTACGGTTTTAATTTTATTATTTATCTGTAAGGTGAGGGAGGGTGGGTTGTTCCACAATACTTAGGCCTCACTATACTCATTCGGCTTTCTCTCGGGGCAAATAGGACCTAGGATTTGCCTCTTAGCTTCTCAAACGCCTGCTGGTTGACAAATCGCCAAGATGTCCATCAGAGTTCTGCTGGCTAATAACGTCACCATGGCAGATAAGAGTACAAATAATAAAAAATAAGGTCGCAAGAATATTTCATCTGGAGTTCCCCAAGATTTACACTTACCCCAATGGAGTGCACACAAATCGCTCTGAAAGTCAACTTCATAAAACGAAAGATATACCTCATATTCACGCAGAAATCACCTAATATACATACAGATTCAAAACTAATGAAGAATTAGGACTAGGTGTATATAGTGCCACGACAAAGACAAGAATCTCACCGAGCTTAAGTAAACATGCGACAGTATTCTAGGCAGAAACAGCAGCAATACATGACTGCGGGAGGACTAACATGATGAGCCTCAAAGACAGCCCATTAGAACATGCACAAATCAATTAATGTTAAATTTCAAGGAGGGTGTGGAACAATTTACCAGGACAAAGTTTATAAAAGGACCATCCTTAAAATTTACCGAGCATCTATTATAAGCCAGAATAGGAAATATAATAAGCTTAACAGACAATGGCATAAAAGTCCGTCAGATAGTGACAGGTTTAGGTGCCCCATTACTCGAATGTATAAGTGCATTTTGGGGTCAGAAAATTTTTCGATGTGTTCGTATGCGAAAATGAGACATCTAAATCGGTCACTATCTGACGGTCTATAACATAGACCTGGCAAAAGCAACCTTATGCCAATTCTGTCGGGAAGAGAAGAAAACCAAACTAGAAAAAGTACTTTAATCAATGATAAAACGATATACAATAACTTGCAAATAGGAACAATTTTAAAATTAACGTTTTTAAGTTATACACAAAACACAATAATTTAAAATCATTATGTTTTAAGGTTTGAAAGTAATAAAGTTAGCTATTTTTTAAGAAATTTGTGTTTAGAAATATAGAGTAACCTAATATGTTTAAAAAACGGAGCGTTTCAAAAATGCGTAAAGAAAATTGTCAACTTTATTTTTTAATATAACTTTCTAATTAGAGCTCTAAAGTGTAATAAAGCAATTTTATAATTCGTAGTAAAAATGCGCCACCTTCAAAAAATGTTAATTGATTTTTTTAAAGGAATTGGTATAGAAATAAAAAAAGTACTTCTCCTTACGACACCGTTATATATTTTTTTTTCCAATGTTCAATAATCATAAGAATGATTTTTCATCAAGAATAAAGATATTCAATAAAAAATATGTTATAAAACAAAAAATCCACATTAGTATGATTTTGATATAAATAAGTATAGTACATGAAACTTTCTAAAATATTTTTTTATGAATATTCTTTAAAATCAGATTGTTAATGATGTATTCTAAAACGCATACATTTACAGTTTATTACCTAATTATACTATTCTAATATATATTTACAGTGCATTTTTAGGAGTAAATTTATATCATTTTGAAATAAATTATACCAATCAGTGTAAAAAATAAAATTATGTATTTATTTTATAAAAAAATCTTTGATTTCTGACCCAAAAATCCTAGGATTAATTTTTTTTTAATCAGTGTTAGGAATAAGAATATATTAAAATTAAACTTATCCACCATAATAATATCTAAATAAAATATGTGGGTATGTACAAGGTGGCCCAACGAAAACTTGACATAAAGGTTTTGGGTATTAACATCAGAGGGGGACACTTTTTTCTTATTACAGCATCTTCACTTCAACACTCGAGCAGTGGGGCAAACAACCCCTACAATTTAAATAGGGAAAGTGTCATGGATGAGACATCATTGAGAAGGTAATTTGGCAATGAGACTATTGCATTCCTTTTGATATTTTTGCTTCCTCTAGTTTGATAAAAAAAATTATTATGTATTGTAAAGTGTGATACTTCATTTGAACGCTAATTTTATTAATTAGATGCACCACATAATACTAATCTAAATATCTCCATATTGCAGTTGCAACAAAATAATGCAAAAGATGACTAATTTTCAGACTGTTGAAAGTGCAATATGGAGACATTTACATTAATGTTATGTAGTGCATTAAATTAGTAATAAAATTAGCTTTCAAATGAAGTGTCACACTTTACAATACTTAAAAGTTTTTATTAAACTAGAAGGCAATAAAATCAAAAGTAACGCAGTAAATAGTCTTATTGTTGAATTCTTCATCAAATTACCTTTTCAATGATGTGTCATCCATGGCATTAAATTAAACCTCCACTTCAAGTTTTTGTTGGGCTTATGTCAATATTATTTATTCAGTCCTTTTTTTTTCTGTAGAAAGATACATTTTTCTAAAAAGATCATATTCAAACAAATTTACATTTTAGGAATTTTAAATATACTAATTAGGGTTATTATAATTGAATCAACCTTTTGTACTAGAAAAATTATTAAACAATAAATCACATTTATACATAAAAATTTAGCTCAAGAAAATATTTTCCCAACATGCAGAAAATTTCGTATAGATACGAAGTACCCACTTGCGCCTATAAGTAAATACTGTTTGTGTATATCAGGTTACATGTTTTGTGTTGATTGGCTTTTATAATGATCAAAATATTAAATAGATAATAGAAACAATAGTAATTCCAGGACCAAGTAAAACTACCAAATGTGCATTTTGTCAGAAAATAAAAAAATCTTAAAAATGCAGTCAAGTAAACTCTTTTTCACCCATTTGTGGTGAACACAATTGAAGGTTTTCTTTCAAAAACAACACATGTTCAAAAATGTCCAAATTGAGTTATAGAGATATTTACTGTCAAATATAGAGCATTTCTACAGTCTTATGAGACTGGTTTTTTGTTTTTTCTGAAAAAAATCTGATTTTGGACATGTTTTTTTTAAAAAGGTCTTCAATTGTTTATTAAAACAGTATTAACATTCATAAAACTATAGATTTTGTAAAATTTTAGTTATTAATAGAATAAATACCCTTTATTTACAAATGCAGGTAACATTTTAAATAGATGCACAGATTGTGGAGGGTTAATAGAGCACTCATACATTATATAATACTGACAATCTGATAGAAACTTATTTACAGTAGCTAAAGCTATTTGACCAAATTAATTAGCCAATATATAAAAACCCATTATCAAATATGTACATTTCTAATATTTGATTTAAAAATAAAGGTCAAATATAAAACGTAATGATGCATTAATTAGAATCTGAGATCAGTACTTGATTAGAGGATTTTTAATAATATGGTCGTAACCATGATATTCTATTTGTTCTACCACATATTTTCTATGAACTCTGCAGTCTGTGCCACATTTTTGAGAGGCACATTTTGGACACTCAAAAAAGCATCCTACACACTCTTCATTGAGACAGTCACACAGATCTACACTCGTGCTAATATGAATACCATTTTCATCGTATATCGCTCCTGCAGGTCTGCGAACATTACTTGGTGGATTGATTTTTCTATTTAGCTTCCTTTTCTCTCTAATACTAGTTTCTGGATTAAAATTGGCCATAAAACGGTCAGATGTCGCTTTTAAAAGTTTATTAGCATTTCTTGCGGCTTGTCTTCTCGTAATATAAGTTTGAGAAGGCTGGGAAACTGATTTTCGTGCCGTGCGATGTTCTCTAGAACTACTAGGATTATATTCGTCATCGCTACTATCAGAACTTAACATGTCGCCATTAGATTTAGACATAATTGTTAAAAGATAATAGTTTTGATAAGATAACTGTTATTTATATTCTTTTAAATTGCAAACAAAATTGCGTTCATTCTAACCTAACATCTGCAAATTGTATCATTTCGTAAATGTCATCACTGTCATGCGATCAAGGGCTTGTTCGGCATTGTTCGGATTCGGACAGAGCGAGCACGGAGTACATGACGTCATAAGACAGTTTAATTTTTTTTATTATCGTAAAACGGACACAAGGGGAATGACAAATAACATTGACACCAGTGCACAGAACTGAAATTAGGAGAATGGATTTGACAGTTTACAAAAACGTACCTACAAGAGGCGAGTTCGGATAGTCAGGGGCTGGAGCGGGACAAATTTTAGGGTGCTTTTAAATGACATTTAAGCGTGTTAAACTCACTAATTGGACTAAACCGAACGCTAAAAGGGTCGTTCGGAGTTAAAAGTGTTAAAGGAACTTGGCAGACCGAACGCAATGTAAGGGTTTAAAATTGAGGTTTTTTTGAGTGTGCGCAGTAGGTGCCAAACAAGGTCATAATTTGAAAAAATATATATAACAATGTTTTCAGAAAAAAATTAACGGCGGGTTGTACAATACGCGGTTAATCGTCCCAAAAATTGTTTTTAAATTAATAAAATTAACATTTATTTTCAAATCACTTTCACGAATGACAATTGACATATCTGATAGATACTCACTGCGCAAACTCAAACCTCAATTTTGAATCTCCTTAACGGAACGTAAATTTTGAGCAAGAATTGACATCAAATCCATTCTCCTAATATCAGTTCTGTGCACCAGTGGTAGTTTACACTTGAATAAACTTTAGGCGAGTTCGGTCAGTCAGGGGCTGGAGCGGGACAAATTTTAGGGTGCTTTTAAATGACATTTAAGCGTGTTAAACTGTCACTAATCGGACTAAACCTAACGGTAAAAGGGTCGTTTGGAGTTAAAAGTGTTAAAGGAACTTGGCAGACCGAACGCAATGATAGTAGGTTCTTTCGATCGCTGTTGGTGGTTAGTGCAAAACGATACGCACATGCGGGCGCCAAAGTGTCAAATATCACCTCGCTATGCGGCTTGATTTTGTTGATCGGCTTTATTCTTCGTTTAATATATAGTTCAGTGAGTGGATCAGGCAATAACAATGTGAAATAGAAAATGGTTATTATAAATACTCTCGAGTGAGATGAAAAATGCCCATTATTATTTGCCGTGGCGCTCCGGGGCAAATTAAAGAGTTTTGATGGTACCATTGACTTATAGGTGAGGAAAACCCCACCCACCATCATCAAAACGGTAACGCATGGCGATTTTTGTAATCTAGATGTCATATCTACATAAATTAAATTTCCGCTAATACGGCCTCCGTCAAATCCTATAGAGAACCATGCAAATACATTCACATGGTCTTCTGTAGGGTTCGAAGCCAGGTGTCTCTCTACCACAAAATTGATCGCAAATGAATGTGAGCGTCTTACGACACCTACGCTACCGTCCAATGTTATATAGATTGCTCAAAGCAGGTTGCATTCGGCCTTATTGCTTCATTCATTAATCAGAATTGGTTTAGCAAAAATGTGTTAAGGCCTATATTGGCTATTTTGAAAAACATGATCAAACTATAAATCTTGACGTTGTTAAGCCCTTGTTAAACCATTTTGTTTGGAATACTAAGTTGTTTTTAAAGTGATAAATTTTCTTCAGACAATTAACAAAAATGGCCAATCTCCTTAAAGCTTGTCCATAAGTGCGACCGTCTTAACTTAGCTCTAAACTCTATAAATGCATCTCTCAATCCAACAGAAGAACTAAATAGTAAGGAGCAGATAAAAAGTGATTTATAGAATCATTTGGATTTGGCAAAAAAAGCATATGAAAACAATTGGTACTATCTCAATTAACGCTGTTAAAAAGGCAAATGATCTAATTCATAAAATACTAAAATTTGATTAAAAATGACATCACTGTAATACTACTACTAGGTTTTTAAAAATATGTATTCAATTCACCCAAAGAAAAATACTGAAGAAAACAAATATATCAATTTATTTGAAATTAAGAATTCATCAATTTTAACAATTTCTCAAAGCAATGAAAATGAAGATTGGACTTTTTTAATACTTTGGTCCAGAATTACTTTATTCAAAAATAACGGCTCTGCAGGTTTGTGGGTGTCCAGTTTGCTGTTCAGTTAGTTATAATCTATAAACCTACTTGTATCAGTTTGCTGTTTTTGTTTTATAGTTGCTTGATGTAGCGGTGATGTTTATTGATGACTTTGTTTTTGTCAAACATAATAAAAAACTTGAAACTCAAACTGTTTAAACATGAAAGGTAAGGATGCATTTATTAGAATCTGAGGTCAGTACTTGATTAGAGGATTTTTAATAATGTGGTCATAACCATGATATTCTATTTGTTCTACCATATATTTTCTATGAACCCTGCAATCCATGCCACATTTTTGTGATGCACATTTTGGACACTCAAAAAAGCATCCTACACACTCTTCATTAAGACAATCACATAGATCTACACCCGTGCTGATATGAATACCATTTTCATCATATATAGCTCCGGTAGGTCTGCGAATATTACTTGGTGGATGGATTTTTCTACTTAGCTTCCTTTTCTCCCTAGTACTAGTTTCTGGATTAAAATTGGCCATGAAAAGGTCAGATGTTTCTTTTAAAAGTTTATTAGCATTTCTTGCAGCTTGTCTTCTTGTAATATAAGTCTGAGAAGGCTGTGAAACTGATTTTCGTGCAGTACGATGTTCTCTAGAATCACTAGGATTATATTCGTCTTCGTCATCGCTACTGTCAGAACTTGACAATTCGCCATTAAATTTGGACATAATTGTTAAAATATAATAAGTTTTGATAAGATAACTGTGTAATTTTTATTCTTTTAAAATGCAAACAAAATGCATTCATTCTAACCTAACATCTTAAATAACTGTCTTGTCTTCACGGAACGCGGAACACATGTCTTGTCATCAGTCAAATGTCAGTTTGTTCTGATTATTTAAAACTAGAATGCAAATAAACAAAGGAAATAGATCTGAACAGGAATTCTTATCTGCGAACCATGGAGGAAAGATTATCTGCGAACTCAACACGTTAGGTGTTGAATAGAGAGAGACATGGTGATTACTATTTAATGGCGTTTTTCACATGAGTGTTCAGTGCGTTCTGAATGTATTCTTATTTTCCTCTTTTCCATATCGATAAATAATGACACAACTTGGCGTGTATTGTCAGTGCCAATGAAAAATGTATTTATAAACAGAACTTACCTGAGTCGGACTTGGGTAAGTCGTCCTTGAACTAAAATCGAAGTTCGGTTACAACGTCTCTATAGTTCGAGTGGTTCCGGTGTTACACTGGAATTTAGAGATGACTATTATCAAATCTGTAACTGTTATGTTCATTTACGGATTTGTTACTACCCATCTCTAAATTCACGCGATATAACCGAACTTCGATTTTCGTTCAAGGACGACTTACCCAAGTCCGACTCAGCTGAGTTTTGTTTATAAATACGGGCCTTATAGCTGAGTTTTATTTATAAATACGGGCCTTTTAAAAAGAAGAAAGTTTTAAAAGAAGAATTGACAGATGATTATCAAAAAAAAAGAGAAGACAACATTGACATTACATTATTTACAGTGAAAGTGGTTGTATCTGATCTGTATATAAAAAGCAACTTTTTCGATGGATTCATGTAATAAATAACAGTTTTTTTATTGTGAATACAGTAAATATACCGAAAATGGTTTTAGCTTCTCCTACCCAAGAAGAGAGGTCAGAAGATTCTTCGGTTGTAGCGATAAAATTTACAAAATACTTCGAAGTTGTTAGAACAAACGCAGAAAATAGTTTACAAGAAATTCATCAGTCTAGGATAAAAACTCTTAGAAAGGAATTAGACTATATAAAAGAAACTAATTGGAAGTACGAGCCTGTTGATAAATACATAGGTCAGTCTTGCAAATAACATCATGTGGAAAAAGAGGAAGCAAAAGTGCAGTGTGATCAAATAAAAAGGTTACATATTAGCAAGCCAAGTAATTTTTATTTTTAATGAAATGTGTATGATAAGTTTGAGGTAATTTGTAAAATATAGATAAAAATGTAACCTGACAAAACTCAAAGGCACCTTATATTTTAAAGTCTGTTTGACATTTGCCTGTGTACTTTTCACAAATAAGCCATCTCAACACATACATTATAAAATAAATACATATAAAACAACATAAAAGTAAAAACCTAATATAATATGTGTTAGTTTGAAATGTACCTTTTCCGGCAGAGCAAGTAGATTTTTTGGTCACGTGACATCGAGCTTGGATGTATAAAAAGAACGGTATCGAGTAAAAAAAGCAAAACGAGGTACTTTTCAAACGTAATAATGGTAGAAAAGTTGGCTTTTCTAAAAAAAAAAAAATAATACCATGATTTCCTTAGCAACATTTGTTTGGCTTTTATTTTGAAATTACCAATATCCAGATTCCTTATTTTCCTGATAATTGTTTTATTCTCGGTTTTATTAGTATCCAGCAAGAATATATGGATGATATAATGACCAATTTGAAGAGTATTTATGTATCTAGTAATAAAACTAAATGTCACAATGTTCTATACTTTGATATGTTACATCTAAAATGTGCATATATGCTTCCTACAAAAGAATGCTGACTACCAAGAACATATAAGTGTCCATTTATCACATTAAAGTGCAATTTGTCTTAAGACATTCAAAAGAAAAAAAATATTGTGGCTTCATTTTTGTCCATGTCGCCTTATACACATTTTTTATTTCATTTAATAATTTTTAAACAATCCAACTGAACAGACCCAAATAAAAGAAATAGTAAAATAACAATTTTCAATAGCCTAACTTAGGTGTCAGGTTAAGGGTTAATATAATGTAAAAAAGGCACTTCCTTAAGTGGATTACACTTAATATACCATCTATAGTTTTTGACTTTTTGTGTAATATAAAATTGTGTTACATTAAATAATAATAAATTTTCCTTTTGTTTTGTTTTTCACTCATAACAATAAACTGGCAAGACTATGAGTATTGTTTTAAACAACATGAATGATAGTTGCAAAGTATATTTTTACTTAACATCTTAGCAATATTTCCAAATTAGATGCTAACTTTATTATTTTGAAATAAATGTGCTGTCTAAATACTTCTTATTTAAAAATATACACCTTCATCTATTTTTTTATTGAATAAAACTCAATCAAATGAATGTTTTCAATATTTAACAAATATAAATGTGATTTAATCTTGTATTAAAATAATTCAAAAATAATGCACACATTCATCAGCCTCAAATGGTTTGTATTATTAGGAATCATTGTTGTTGAAAAGCAAATTCAACAACTTTTTCGAAACAAAAATTGAATGTTTTATTTTAATTATTTGTCAATTCGGTGAGTTTTTGCGGAAGCGTAGAGGGGCCACAAACTATATCTTTTTGATTTTTCTGACTGTAACTCTTTTTGACAAATATCATGCACAGTATCATAGCCCACCTCCCAGAGCGTAAGTCTAGTAAAAATAATATGAGTCAAACCCGAGTTTGATAGGCTTTAACCACAGTTGTACGATGCATAAGTATAAACAAATACGACTGGATAACTTATTCTAAATGGAAAATGGCTATTTTTATAAATATTCTGTAATTACCTGCAATTACAAGACTTCTTGTTAATAGATAACAATTTTCTTTGTAATGATGGGGTATATCAACTTAAAATAAATACACAACTCAAACAAATATGATGGCTATTAAGGCTTATAGCAACTCTCTGATAGAGGTCGTTTTGCTGGATACCGCCAGATGGCAGCAAATTGGTGTAAATAGAAATTTGTGAAGCCTATTGTAGATGAAAATAGCTCTATAAGCAATGGAAACCATAGGAAGTTTCTTTGTTGTAGAATTGTAGCTGGAGACAGTCTTGAAAATCCGTCTAAGATAGGCCACTGGAATGAGCTACATAATAATATATTAGCAAAAAATAGAATGATGCAAATAAAAATTACAATGCAATTTAAAAAAAGTCGAAAAGGCTAAGTATTTTTGTATTATTTTTTGAGAAACTACAGTGTGTTAAGTTTACCACAATGACGCCAGAAGAACAGTATAGAATAAGCGATGCTACTGATTAGAGAGCTGACTAGCGGTAGAGGTGTATCCATTTATCCAATCACTGCAGATAGCCAATTCACGAGAGCTTCTCTTTGTTTTTCTCACGTGCAAATATAATTAAGCATCTCATCTTCATTTCGAAGAATCCATGGGTTAACATTGTATACACAGTGGAAAGAAAGTCTGGAAAAGCCTAATTTTCTTGTCAGCAATCTACAAAATTGGGATTTGGGGGGTTTAAGGAAATGGCTATTAATTTTTTCTATAATATTTATTCACTTTGATTTTTTTTAAATGTAACATTAAAAAAATAAAAATCTTATGTGTAACATATCGTTGACCTAGGACTCCAGAGTACAATCAAAAATGAAATAATATACAGGGTGTTGCATTTAAAAACCAAAGCCAACAATAAAGATAAAAGAGGAATGTGCATGTCTTAATACCCCCACATCCTAACTTTTATAGATTTCTGACAACCCGTTTTAGTTTGACATTGAAATATCGAAAACATACCAGATTGTGAGTGGAAAAAAGGGGGTTTTAGTGATAGGACGACACTATCCATTCTAAATCTTTAAAAAAAGGCCATTCTATGCTCGTCAACTAATCTACTGTTCTTACATAGGCAGGTGCCTCTTTTGTGATTATACCTTGGAATCTATTTTTTTTATTCCTTTGATAACACAGGGGCAGTTATTACTGTTATTCAAATATAAATAAGTTTTTAATACAAATATCTGCACTTTATATTTAGAAAAATAATGGATGATTTCAATGTTGTAATAATAAAATTATTAAAACAACATCACACCATTCTAGTTCCAATAATTTCATTGTCAAATAATTAGGTATTGTTAATTATTATAATAAATATTATCTTTATGATTTTTATTATACAGACAAGGTTAAGATCTTACATAGTAAATAGACATCTATTGCTGCGTTTGAATATCCACATTTGGGTAGCTATTATTGAATTCGAGGGAATAGAAAATTGGTTTCTCTTCTTTATCTGCAACGCAAAAAATTTGTATTTTTGTCTCATTCTTCCCTCAAAAGTTCTACTCCCTGAGATTCAAGAATAGATACCCAGATGCATTTTTTACATCTCTAGCGTTTGTTTATCCACATCGGACACATTTTTCCTACTACATTTACGTATATTGAATCACGTGATCCGATGTTGATATTCAAACGCAGCATATATCTGTATTTTTTTGGGGAACAAATAACATGGTTCGAAACTTCTCTTAAAATAGAATCAGTCCTACACAGACTTAATAAAATAATCATGATCTGACGATAATTTATTTGTTAAAAATAGCAGGAAATCATAAAAGTTTACTAGATAAGAAAAAAACCTTGAAATTAAACACATGATACCTATATTAAAAAAAGTGCTGATAGTCACGTGACATAAATCCTATCGATCCTCAACATGATCTCTGAAGGAATGAATTCCAGATAACTATATT